TAAATATCTTAATTGGAATAAAGTCTTCTATTCAAACCCAGTCAGGGTCCTGTGAGGGTTAAAAGTATAAAAATAACATCCAGACAACAGGAATAAAACCCACATAAATCACTGTGGCATCCAGTTTCTATTCACAAAGAAAAAGCTCCAGTCCATCTTTTAATTTTTTTGAAAAATTCCTGACATTACAGAACTAAACTGAAATGTATTAATATTCCACTCTTACATTTCCATGACAAACAAAAATTCATGAGCCCAAAAAAAATAAATAAAAACAAAAAAAACAAAAACAAAACATAAAAAAAAAACCTGGAAAAAAGGGAGAAGCTTATAAAACTAAATATGGATCTCAGCATAACAGCTGAACAGAGAAAGGAATTAAAACGCTTTAATTAAAAAATCACGAGTGGATGATAAAGTGTGTAGAAACTGAAAATTTACAAACTATTTAAAACCTGGAATCGCTGACTGTTCAGAAACTACACAGATGGATCATGGGTGGTGGTGAACAGCAGAAAGGGATTATGGGTGAATCTGTACTGTTCTAGCTGCTCCCCATTCCACCCGTCTCGGAGGAAAGCCTGACATTGATTAGGATACTGAGCCAGGCTGATGCTGGCAGCAGATCCAGTGATGGTAACCTGCCTATCAGTAGATCCTTCCACTGGGTTCGCAATTTTGATCTGCGCCCCAGACATCTGACGGATTTCATTGATTTTGGCGCCTTGACGCCCGATTATGCAGCCAATCAAATCGTTTGGAATAGTGAGTTCATGAGAAGTAGTCTGAGCAGATGCATCCAAACCCCAATAGCCTTTCACCTCTGGAGAACTGGATTCAATGCCACTGAATCCGGTGTTGCCATGCGTCATGGGAAAATGAGACTGTTGCATTGCCAACTGGTGCAGCTTGGTCAAATCTGGCTGTGGAATGGCATACTGTCCTTGAATGGTATAGGCCTGACCACCTGCAAAGATGACTGGGGAACTCGAGGGCTTGGGCCTGTACGGGATGGTCACGCCCTTCGGGGGGGACTGGGAGAGAGTCTCCAACATGACCACGCAGATCTGTTTGACACACTCAATGATCGATTGCGGAATGCCAGCAATAGTGATAGCCCGTTCAGTTGAGTTGGGGAGCATATCCCCTGCCACTTGGACCTGAGCCCCTGTACTCTCTCTTATTTCCTTGATCTTGCAACCTCCTTTTCCAATGAGAGAGCCACACTGACTAGCAGGAACCACCAGTCGTAAGGTAACCGGGGGTCTACTGGCAGCTGTGCTATTGGTCATAGAGCTGCTAATATCCTCTTCCAGTTTGTCAATGATCATAGCAAAAGCTTTGAAGATGGCATTAGTGGGTCCAGCCAAAGTGATAATTCTCTCAGGACAATTCCCTTCTGAGATGTTGATACTGCACCACTCTCCTCGCGCATCTTCTTAACAGATTCTCCTTTCTTTCCAATGATACTGCCAACTTCCTTTCCATGCATAAGTAGCCGGATGGTGAGAGTGACATTTAATCCACCTTCAATCACACCGGTGTCCATGTCTAGCAGTTATGAGGAGCTGGACTTTGAGTGGTCAAGTCTTTGGTCACTGGTGGGGGTGAAAGCCAAAAACTGGAGGTGAGAGGCGACTGAGGGGAAAAGGGGAGCGGGCGGGAAGGGGAAGGGCGGAGGCCGGGAGCGGAACAATAGGGGCGGGCGGGAGGCGAGGGGGGCCCCC